TAATGGGTCGGTCCTAAATGGGCCTAACAAGGCCCGTCCAGTTTGACATCCACTATAACCATGGGTAAGAAATTTCTACACGTGACATGCCTTGTTGATGAGGCTGACCATTAACCTTGTAACGATCCTCATCAAATCATCACTCAGAAATTAATGAATCAAATTAGTTGATTCCATAGATTGATTTAACACAAATAAAGATGTTTTACTTAATTAACAAACTATGATGTTGGTTGCAATACTCATAGTGGAAATTATGATCAAACATGATTTTATCAATCATCATCATTTTTCAACCTTCCTAAATAAATAGGAAAATGATACTTGTCCCGGACCACATAGGCTCGGGATTTCCAGGGGGGACAGGCAAGGGGTCTGTGTGGCCTGGGATTTCTAGCAAATCTAAAATAAATATTTTCCAACTGCCCTAGTTCACTTTCCAATAATTCTCAAGTTGGGTGATTTTATCAATCATTATTTATTTTCATCCTTCCTAAATAAATATTTTCCAATTACCCTAATTCACTTTCCAATAATTCACAAGTTGAGGAAGATAATTTTGAGCTCTATGTATTTTCCAAGATCCTTTATTTAAAAAATTAGTAATTACATAGTCATTCAATTTTTACAAATTCAGAAGTTGTTGAAGATAATTTTGCACCGAAGTACATATTAGTGAACGGTGAGTATTCGAACAAGTAGATTTGAGCGTAGTCCTTCATTTTCCAAATACAATTGTTGCGGAAGCTCTCTCTAAAGGATCTTCAAATGGTGGTTTTCCAGGCTCAGTCCAACGTACCTTTCTCTACTAACAACCAATCCAAACGGCTCCAAACCACAACCAATTGATTCACCTTGGTTGCTATTCAATCTTACCCACGTAGGACAAGAAGGGATGATGATTTATCGCCACAAAAGCTAGGAGAAGACACCACAAAGGTATACTATGAAAGAACCACCAATTGTACACGTTATACCAACGTTCTTGACACTTCTGGACACCCTTTTTCTCACACAAAAGGGGGCAGCCGGGATTCTTTTGTTTCTTCTCTCAAAATCACTCAATCATCATCACAAAGAGGCTAGGGTTATATTCATATATATACTCTAGGGTTAGGCTTTAAGTTGGGCCATTAAAGGGGTAAACATGCCAAGATTCAAGCCATCCAGAAGGAATACAATTGGGTTGGGTGTAGCTCATAGACTTGGTTGTTAGACTTATTTCATTCATTGGCCTATGCCTATGAAATAATATTAACCCACGTTAACATCATAGC